CCCCAAAACCCCAAAACCCCAAAACCCCAGTCAACTATAAATATCATGAAATAAAGATATTTATAATATTAATAAATATGAATAAGCTTAACAAGTTTGCCAAATTAACTTGCCAGCTCACTCATTGTAAAGACAAGGCCAAGTACTTCGTGCCTTCCTTCTCACATTATATCTGCGGAGGGTGCAAGCAAACCAAATTCTTTGACGAAGAGGTCATCTTTCTGTCTGATCCTGAAGAAGTCAAGAAGGCTTTGCAGTATGGTAAGCTCAAGATTTTGCCCAAATGGATATTCGAAGAGAATTTGCTTTCATAGTGCTAAGTTATATATAAACTAGCTACAAAGCAACTTGGACTAGTTAAAATTATTTCTAATAAGCATGAGGCTTTTCTTTGAACTTCCCATTCTTTACTCACACTGTTCGACTTTTGTAAAAGAATGGATTATTGACGAACAGTATCATTGGTGCTATTTAGTTGAATACAGCATTCATTCAGTAAATGTTTGCATGATGCAAGAACCCAAACTCAAAAACAAATGGAGAGCATTGCTTGAGTCTCTCGAAGCCTTCAAGCATAGATATGGACAAAGCAAAGTAGCTTTTGACAACATAATCAAGAACCAACAATGGCCTAAGCTTAGCAAAGTTCTAGATGAACTCAGTAAGTTTTATTTGTGTTTTTAAATTCCCATCTTTCTGAACTTACTCACCCAATAGATTCCATTCAGACAGATTGGAAGGCCAGTGAGATATTCTGTGAGTTCCTTCACTATGAGAGACAAGAGAGTGTCAGACTCAAGTGCAAAGGAGTTATTGTACAGAGTCTGACGATGCAAGAAAACGTCATTCTCAAAGCACAAATAGACACACTTCAAAGAGACAAAGTTATTCTCGAACAAAAACTGTACAAACAGAATTGATGAGCTCACTGCTCTGAAGGATGACATTACAGCTGAAAAAGACGATCTAGCCAGAGCCTTGAAGCATCTGATACTGAAGTCACTGATCTGAAGAATAGCAACACAGAGCTTGAAACCACTCTCTCAAACTGTCAGTGAGAGAAAGCACAATATTTGGAACAGTTCGAGACTCTGAAAGATCACTGTGAAGAACTGAAAGATCTTGCCACAAATTCTCGTAAGATTGCAGAAAATATTGGAGACAAAGTTGACAAGATGCAAGAAGCCCAAAACCATGTTCAGACCACTAAAGATTTTAAACTACCCAAAGGTAATTGCTTGGCTTAATTTCAAATAAGTTGACAACTACCCACTAATGAAGCTAATTCTCCATTTAGAGAATCCCAAGTCAGTCGAAGGAAGGAATAAAGAACTGAAAGGCTCTGTAATTCTTGCTGCATAAACCCTCTAGGCTGATTTGTTGTCCAGGCTCAGATTTGATGAAGGAATTGCTTCTGAGGCACTCAAAGACCCTAGATGTATGTATCCCCTCACAGATTTAGTCAACCAATACTTGGATAATATTCTTAAGTCTAAAACTTTCTCATGCTCACTAGGAAATGTGAATCACGGCAAACTGTTTTCACTTCTTACAAAACAATCTTCCCAGCTGCTGGAGAAAGTTGAATTCTGGGGAATAGGAAGAGTTGATGCAGGTAAGCCCTCAGAGAGTTAATAAGGAGAGCATTCTGATAAATGGAGTAGAGAGAGATGTTGGTTTGATATTTCAGAGAATTAAACTTTTGTGATACATCTACCCAAATCCTAAATTCCAAGCCTCGCTCTCCAAACATACCTCTGTCATCTTATCCTAACCTTGTTCTAGCCAGCGCGAACTTATTCCTCCAGACCTGTATTCCCTCTTCTCTGCAGACTCTCTCCCTCAACTTCTACAATGGAACCTCCAACTCCTCAATAACCCCCTACTTGGCCTCAGTGCTGGCTCTGATGACCAAGGTGACCTCCAAGTTAACTTTGTACAAAGTGAAGATTAAGAAGTCTGAGAAGAAAATGATCGACCAGGCTTTTGGTGCTGTTGAAGTTGAGTATGACTGTAAGGTGTTTTATCAAAAGTTAGATATTTCTCTAGTTTTGATCTTAGGTTAATGTTTTCTTATAATTTCCTCACTTCTTGTGAGAGCAGAATATCAAATTCATATCCTACGGAGGAATGAAATAGACCCAATTCTATTTAACTGATGTCAATCCATTGATGCTCAAACTGACAATCTTCATGATCGATACTTTGGTATTGCTCTGTGTTAATGCTGTCTGCATATGATTAGTTAACTCGTTAGTTTTAGAGTTTGTAGAAACAACTCTGATATTGGCAATCTGAATTCTAGACCTAGTTTTGTGATTTTGTGGGCTCTTGTTCATCTGGGGTTCACTTCCAGATTGTAGTTCTTTATTTGAAGCATTTCCTGATCATTTGTTCCATTAGCTTGATCATCCACTTGAGTAAGGGGATTATTGCTTCTCCATTTCTTTACCTTCTCTATATCCTTTTTAATACAGCTTTCCTCATCAGCATCAGCAACAATTTTTCTAGCTAATCCACTTAGTAATTTTTTGCTGCCAAGTTTCTTTGCTATTTATACTCCTACAAATCACTTATTCTCAGACACTTTCCTCCATCCTTTCTTGTCCAACTTATATCTTAGGGGTGTTGAGATTATTTTTCCATCTTCTTTTTGAGCTCTTAGAGGGTGATATTTCCAGGCAGAGTTTTTATTTCGCTTCGATAATATCTTCATAGGATCTATATAATAGTTTCCTTGCTTGCGTTCTCCTAAAGAAGTTTGAGTACCACTCTCTATGTCCAGATTAGTTTCTCTCAAAGTAATATCCTCTAGTATTTCTTTTCTTGCCATAAGTTGGTATTAGTTCAACTCTCCAATCATAATATGATCCTCCACTTGTGAATCTCCAATCTTTAACAATGGTGAATCCTTTGCGGAACTGTTTCATACCTTCTCTCTTTTGAGTGTGATGAGCTACTAAATGTAATCCCTGTTTAGGACATCTTGCTTTGTTATGAAATTCACTTTCTTCAAAGGCATCTTTACAGTCAGTGCAAGCATTTTCTTCCGGTCTTCATCTTTAAATTCTTTTCTTAATATTTCTTCACTATTTTATTTAATATTTTCTCATTTTCTTCCTTTTCTCAATTACTTGTTGGGCACCTATTTTGCTGCTCTTTTTATTGCAAGTCATTTACTTCTCGTATATAAAATCCAACTCTTGCACATTCTTAACAATGATTTCCATGGATTCATAGATATTTTCCATCACCATGTCTGAACTGTTCTTTATTGTCACCCTGAAATCTTCAGAGGATGCTTTATTTGTGACTAATTCATCTAGCATCTTGTAATGCTTATCAATAAGCAGTAGCATTCTCTCGTGCAGTTAGCCCATTACTCAGCCATATTATGTTAATATGACTGTAAGGCATTTGATGAGGGAAAGTCACCTTTTTGTTTGGGGAGTGTCGAGGTACTTAACGGGTAACAGGAAATCCAGTTCAAGGTAAGTTTGCTAATAATATATCTTAGATTATATTGATTCAACTCAAAATATCTATATTGGGGTTTTGGGGTTTTGGGGTTTTGGGGTTTTGGGG